GAGGAGAAAGAGGAGGAGAAAGAGAGGAGAGAGGAGAAAGAGAAAGAGAAAGGGAGGAGAAAGAGAGAAAGAGGAGAAAGAGAGGAGAAAGCGAGAAAGCGAGAAAGAGAGAACAGGAGAAAGAGACAGTAGACAGGTAAACACGAGAAGAGCAAACGGGGGGGATAGGGTAAGCACGGAGGGAGGGCTCGCCACTGCCTGACGGCCGCAGGTAAGGTTAGAGAGAGAGAGAGAGAGAGAGAGAGAGAGAGAGAGAGAGAAAGTAGGTAGGTAAACAGGTGAAGAGCAAAAGGGGGGGGGGGGGGCCTGGGGGCAAAAATACGGATGAAGACAGGCAGGTTCTGTGAACTTCTACCCCTAAGTGGTCCAAATGCAGGTGGCTCTTAACAGCATCCCCTCGCTCGGTAAGTGGCATACGAGACCCCTCTTCTGTGAGCCGTCGATCAAGTTCTTACAAAACGACTTTATTCCCAATTTTGTTTTCTCCTTTCTATTTTTCTTTTTTTTTCTTTTTTTTAAGCCACATGGCCACGCCATGGGCAATAACAAAAAATTCAGACAATTCTCTCTTTTTTTTTCTTTTTTTTTTCCCTTTTTTACAATTGTACCGCTCCTCAACCTTCTCTTGACGTTATCCTCAAAATCTTTTTTTTTTTTTTTCCAAAATTCATTTTCCAAAAACGGCCAAACGGCCAAAAGAGAGCAGATTTTTAAAACAATCTTTCTTTTTCTTCTTCCAAAAAACTCAATTTTTTTTCAGTCGTTTTTCAGAAACGGCCAAGAGTGAGCAGATTTGCAAAACCCACACTCGCACACACATGCATGAAAATTAAAAGAACGCTGCAAAAGAAAAAAAAAACGCAAAAAAAAAAAAAAACGAGCACAAAACCTCGACCTATAGTGACCACACAGGAAAGTGAAGACTTAACACCTCCACCGTGCCTCATCACCTACCTCCACCCTTTTCTTTTTTCTTTCTTTTTTCTTTTTTTTTTCTTCTTTCGTCCTTCCCTTTTCGTTACCGCACATCATCACTTACCTCCACCCTTTTTTTTTTTYTTTTTTTTTTCCTTCCTTTTTTTTTTCCCCCCTTCTTTTTTGTTTCCTCTACAACTTCGGTCAATCTTTCAACTTTGTTCTTTTTCCGTTCTTTCAATTTTTTTCTTTGTCCGTTGTTTCAATTTTTTTTTTTCCCATTGTTTCAATTTTTTTCTTTTTCCGTTCTTTACAAAACTCTACTCCCTCCACATTCCCAAAACTCCAAAAGCGGACACAGAAAAAGAGGGGGGGAGTGGGAAAGGGGGGGAGGGGAGGGGGGGGGGGGGAAGGAAGACACGAAAGGCGGCGGGGTCCCACTACCGATAGTAAAGAGGATTGGATTAAGCGACTGAATCTGGACGTGGTTTTATAAAGATGCGGAAAATCAGAAAAATTGCGATTTTCTGCACCTATCCACAAAGAGGTACAGATTCAGCCGTTGAGTTTGCTAGTGCGACCGCCCGAGGAGGCTATTCATGCACTTAGTCGACTCGCATCGAAAATGCGAATCAGCCCGCGCATTCCAGGGGGCTAAAATTTCGTTAAATAATTGAATAAAGTGGGGAGGCAATTAGAGAGAAAGGGGAAAAAGCCGAAAGTACGAAATTCTAACTAATATATGCATAAACTATAAATAATAACTAAAAAATGTCATTATGTATATATGAGGAAAAGACAATTCAAGTTGCGTTTACCTTATGCTTGCACTGACGAGGATGTAATCGTCATCAGTTATTCGGTTAATAAAATAAATAAATAAAATCAGCAACTGGTACTATACCCGTAAAAACAAATAAATATATAAACAAAATCCGCTAAATAAATAATTGACCAATTCTTTAAAAAAAAGAAAAAAAAATGGCCGCGCAGTTCAATTTACCTTCGCTAGGTGAGAAAAAAGAAAAAGAAAAAAAGAAAAAACTTTGCTTGCACTACTCAGCACGTAACCGCACATAAAACCAAATAATAAAATAATACTACACAAAATCAACAAGCATTGGTTAATAATTAATTAATTAATTAATTAATTAAGATCAGCAAAAGCACAGATTACCGAGAAAAGAGATTTTTGTCACTTTACCTCAACTTTGCTTGCACTAACGACGAAGTAGTCATTCAGGGGTTACTGGGATGATTTCTCTTTTTTCAATCAACGAACATGGTCTAATTTCATTAATTTAATTAATTTATTCATTAATTAATTAAGATCTTTTTATAAAACGAGAAAAAAGAAGGAAAGATGACCGAACCAGCGGGCCTAGTTCAGTTGGTACAAGACCCATGAACAGTTAAAACACACACACAGGTTCGGATCCAGATGCGATGAATCATATGAACAGACTAAAATAATTCTTGAATTGCCTGGAGCCGGTCAGTTCAACGATAATATCTCAAGGCCCAARAAAAAAAAAAAAAAAAAAAGACCGACAAAAGAATTTCAATTTACCTTTGCTTACACCAAACGAGGAAGTAGTAACCATCACGGGTCACTGGGCTGTATTAAACAACCGGTACTTGGCCCAGCTATCGGCCGTGGAAAAAAAAAAAAGAGTAGAAACGTTTCTAGCTGGATGAATTTGGGCGCTCCTGCAGTGGCCCGTACGTTTCCTAAAATCGTGGCGCGTTAACGGGCACGACTTTAGGAAGTACTGGTGGTTTAATTAAAAAAAAAAAGACCGAGAAAAGAAAATCAATTTACCTTTGCTTGCACTGATGAGGAAGTAGCCATCAGGGGTCACTGGGCTGTATTTAAAAAAAAAAAAAACAGGACCAAGAAAAGAAATTCAATTTACCTTTGCTTGCACTAAT